CCTGCAGTCCAGCCCGGGACTTGTCAAAATCCGTGTGTTCGTTGGCTACCGGAACATCTCTTAGAGGACCCACGCTATGCTCCGTGTCACCTGCTGTACTTCACAGGCATAACACGCATGTCGAAGGTGATTCTTACTGAGATTGTACGTGGGATGTTTATGAATTCTGCATCACATCTACGTGTGCTGTCTGAAATGCGTCAGCAGGCACTTGACATGCATGACGCCATCACGCGAGGAGACTTTGAGCGCTACGGCAGGCTTATTGGAGTGGCCTGGGAACAGAACAAGCGTCTGGATTCTGGATCATGTCCAGAGGCCATTGCCGACATTATTTCGCGAGTGGAAAAGGACGTTTGGGGCCTGAAGCTCGCGGGTGCTGGTGGCGGTGGGTATCTCTACATGGTGGCGAAGGACGTAGATGCCGCCCAACGCATCCGGCATGAGTTAACGCAGCGTCCACCAAACGCCACGGCACGATTTGTGGGAATGAGCGTTTCACACAGTGGCATTAAAGTGAGCAGGTCATGAGTTAGCGGCTGCTTTTTTTATTTTTATTTTCTTTGCCTTAGGACACATGACATGAGTGCCACTCACCATTGAAGGGCGGGTAACGGTATTTATTGTAGGAGAAGTGCTTTTTTTTTTTAAATTATTGAAAACTTGGTTTATGCGTCCTGAGAGAACAAAAAACAAAAAAAAAAAAAAGAAAAAAAAAAGAGGAGAAATAAAGTGTTATTATTATTGTTATTATTTTTTAATTTTATATTTTATGGGTGAAGCTGCGCTGATCGACATTTTTCCGCTTTTTTGTTGCCTTTCCCCCTCCCCTTTTTTTTTTTCAATGCGTTTGTCATTTGCCCTTTACGCTCTGATGGAGGGCTGTATTTTTTACACCGCCACCACTGAAAGGGTTGCCTGACGAATTCTTTTCTCTGTGTGCGTGTGTGATTTTGGTCCTTTATTATTTTGCGGAAAATTGAGGGGCTTCATTGGGCTGTTTTCCCTTTTTCTTTTTCTTTATTTGGGCAGGCTTGGAGTGGGGGTGGGGTTTGTGGAGGCCAATCGAAAGGAAAAGAAAAGGGGGTGGGCTGGGAGGTCGAGTTTGTTCCCCGTGTGCGTGTTTGCGGCTGAAGAGGAGGAGGGATGGCGCCAAAGAAGCAGGCGACGAAACAACGTGTGCGGGTCACCAACAAGGCCCTCGAGGCACGTCAGTTCTCCACCGTTCGTCTACCGCGCAAGGCGGAGATACAGGCGCCGCAGGTGGACGTGGAGCGCATGTACGAAGACCACGACCGTGGGAATAGGCGCGGGGGCGAGAAACGAGGCGACGGCGGTGGTGATGCCGGTGGTGTTAATGCGCGAGAGTCAGTGCCGCTCATCTTTGACCCTATTCCGAACGATCCACTCTTCGTCGTTGTGGCGAATTCCAAGTACTGGCCGCCGCCACCGCTGGAGGAGCTGCGGGCGGCAAACGGTGCCCCGATTGAAGATGGCTTTGACGCGTATGACCGTCGCGAGGATGACAGGGCGGCGCGGAGGGAGAGGGTGAAGGCGGTGCGCGGGGAACTGAACCATCCACGCGGAAAGCCTCGACAGAACACAATTGTGAAGTTGGACGATAGTGACGAGGAGAAGGATGAGAAGGGGTAATGCGCCGAGCGAAGATCCTGGCCACGCCGGGGGAGAGGGAGAGAGAGAGAGAGGAGAGAGGCTCATTGTTAACGAATCGCCATTGCCTTAAGGGAATGGGAAAACGAGGAAGAACGAGGAGACATGCATGCGGGGTGATGTTTGCCGTTGATGGCAGGTTTACAAGTCGTGTAATTTCATTTCCACCTGGATAACAAGAGGAGAATAAGAGGAAGCGAGGGCGAGTGTGCGTGTGTGGGGGTGCATGAGTGGATGATGCTCTGGCAGTATTCTTGTCTCTCTCTCTCTCTCTCTGGGTATGAATTTGTCTATGTGCCGCATGCAACTTCTTTCTTCTGCATGTTAATAAATCTTCTCACCATCGCCATTTTTGTTATTGTCGTCTATTTGTCCTTTTTTTTTTTGCATGCACGCGTATTCACATTCCACAATTTGGAGCGAATCAGGCGGTAAAGACGTGAGAAGCGGTGATAAATGCCATGTGGGGCTCTCGTCCGAGGTATCGCCGTAACGTGAAGGCATTGCTGGATCGCAGTGCTCGGTTTCTCAGCAGTCTTCTGCACGGCGTGCCAAATGCTTCTTTTTCACTCCGCCTCAATGCTCCCTCTCTTTGGGGCAAAAGTGAATGCACTCCGGAAGAATGGCAACGGTGTCTCGGAGAATTGCTTTGCCGTGGTGCTGCCGCGAACTGTTTGCTCGACACGAAGTCTCACGTGGCGGAGGTTCATGCGTCGCTGGTGGCCGCATTTCTCCCCAAACCCCATTGGAATAACTCTATCACGCACAGCATGGACATTATTTCACTCTCCTCGCTTGAAAAGGAAGTTTCGGACACTGTGGCGGCCCTCTTGCACCTACCGGCACGTTTCTTGTGGGTCCGACGTGCGGAGGCGGTCA